GTTAAGACAGCCCTGGTATTCTTGCATACACTGATACGCACTAGATGGATAAAGTGAGGATAAAAGCTCCTCAGTTGGCAGGTACGGGTACAGGCAGAACAGATGCAGAGAGAGGGGTCATATGCTAATGGACCCAGCTATCAACCGAGAGCACTTAATATAATAAAAGTTGGCTCTAGTCCACGAAAGTTTCTGATATAATTTGTTAGTTGTTAAATGGCACAGAATTCTTCATTTTTGCTGCACGACACTCACACACTCTGGAAAATAAAATGATGTGCCGAGAATGTTCGTGTAAAATGGGAAGACAGAGCTAAGGAAGCGAGAAGGGTGGCGTGCGTGAGCTCAAGCCTGTCACAGATACCCGAGCCTCTGCTAGCCTTTACTAGTCCCGACAGCTCAGAAGTCCGTGGAGCGAGGGCGCCTTGGTGCCGCCGCTTTCAGCCAAGTTCCATCTACAGGACGTGACTTTTTCGCCGTACAGCGTGGCTTGGTGCAGCTTTCCCCAACCTGGCGCCATCCAGATGGTGTTTTACTTCAGCGTGCTGTTGGGAAAGACAAGTGTTGTAGTCCTTACGTGCAACTGGGCACCGGAGGTCTTACTAGCCAGACTCGAGGTACAGGAGTCGGATCCGGTCCCGTGGATCGAGGGACCGGAGCGCCTCAGTCAGCCGCTCGCTGCGGATGGTGGGCGCAGTACATCAAACCTATTTGGAGGGTGCCTGGTTGTGGAAGGCTGGCTTAAATTATTTCCCACCCCGTTCTGTTTTTAACAGTTAAACAGGAATCACACGACAAAGCTGGCCTCTCGCCCAACAATCCATTTTGAAATAAAGCTCCGCCTCCATCGTTTCTTCCTTTCCAATTAGGGAGGGCGAACGCGCCTCGATCTCTTTTGCCCTTTCTCGGCTGCCGTAAAGAGAGCCCGCTCGAGGTGGGGAAGCCCGGAGAGGAGCGGGGGGGGGGGGTTGGGGCGAATCTTTCCCCGCGGTGCCTATTGGGACGGGCTACTAAGTTTAAGAATCGAGGGAAGTCCGCCGCGAGTGGTCCAGCGCATTTTGCGGGACGAGGAGGAGAGGGCGCCTGCTTCGAAAGTTTGTGGATGGGCGCTTCTGCCTAGCAACGCCTCATGTCTGGGAAGATGAGTCGGGCCGGCTAGAACACGCTAACCCGGGGGGTCCCGGCCGAGCGGAAGGTGAGCGGGGGGCGGCGACTGTCATTGTTCCGAAGCCAGGGACGGGGGTCCCGGCACCCGGTCTTTCTCCGACGCCTCAGCGAAGGACTTCCTTTGGCCCTTCGTGGTGGTCCGGCCCGCCAGAGCGAGCGGACCCCGTTTGGCTGGTGCCGGGCCCTTGCCTTGGTCCAGGAAGGGAAGGGGTCCTCTTTGTCATTTGCACTGGGAGCTCCTCCTGAAAGAGCCGCTCCGTTCCGCTCCTTTTGTGAGCTGGAAAAGAAGACTGTGGAGCACCTTCACAGTTGCTCTTTTGTCCCAAGAAGTGAGGCACCAGTTGCTTCCCTCGGAAATGAACAGGAGCGACTCATAAAGCGCCAGTTTGTGCGTATCTTCTCGGAATTAAATCCCATTGAGTGCAACGGGATTTACGCGCTAGAAAGTGCCTACACTAACCTTCTCCTTCCTAGTGCATTTTAGTTTGTACGACTATAATTCCTACTATCCCGCAGCCATGAAAGTTTTTTTTTGTTTTTTTTTTGTAAGTATGTTGCCACTGGCAAGGTAGTATGGGAAAATTCCTGTTGAAAATTCCTTGGGAAAATTCCTTCCTGTTGAAAATCCCTGTTGAAAATTCCTTGGGAGCAGATATTTGTCTGTAATCCGCCCAGGGAGCTGAGTGGGCTAGTGGGGTGGGATAACAACAACAACAATTCCCTTGCAGCTGTTTCAATGTGGAGTCTATCAGTTGCTTTTGACTATAACTTTCATCATCCCAGACAAGAACACAGTCACTGAACATACTGGTTGGGGTGTGTGTGAGATGAAAGCTGTAGTCTGACACACCTGGAGAACACCACCTTGAGGACAGCTAGTTTAGGGCAGAATGTCCATAGCCTTCCAAATTGGGAGAATTATGACTATCCTAAGCAGGGTCAGAGGAGTGCAGATGCAAAAGTTTTCTGCATATTTCTGCCCTGCAATGTACATTGTCTAATTGCTGCACTTTAGAGTGGGAAGGAAGAAGACTGAGGTGCCAGGATATCTCATACCTTTGGCAGTACTAGTTCCCTCCCTTCCCCCTCATCTCCAAGGCTGTTTTTGCATAATCTGTTTGATTTCTGTATTGGCCATCTGGTGATGTACATAAATGCAATTCTCTGAGCAGTTGTCTGAAATATGTGTTTGCAGTGAACAGGTGGTTGGCTTCATCAACCATTCATGAGTGGGTTTCATGTGTCATTCTCCTGCCTCATTTCTTGCCCCTAGGCCATTTTTTTCTTTTGCTTTTTTTCCTGCTTTTCCATTCCAGTTTAGGATTAGCATCATGACTTGTTTTGGTGTGTTATCAATTTCCTCTTGAACACCTGCAGAAATATTCTTCTTCTACTTCTTCAGCATCTGCTGTTGGAGTGCAGACTTGAATGATGTTATGTTGATAGGTTTTCCCTAATTTTGTTTGGTAATTGAACTTTGCATTATAGGCCAATACTGCCTCTGCTACATCTTGCGTCATTATTAGAGCCACTCCATTTCTTGTGAGTTTGCAGTTTTAGGAGTAAAACACTTTTTTTCTGACTACAATCAATAATGTTTGATATTTAACTTGTAATGGTTCATAAATATCTAAGTACCCTATACTCGAGGTTCATTTTCCTTTGTTGCTTACAGGTACAGCCATGCAGGAAAGCATCCGTTTTGCTTCATCGGGAGATGATGATGTTAAAATATGGGATTCTTCATCCATAACTGTAGTGGACCAATTCAGTCCCCACACTCCCTCACATCCAGTTAGCTGTGTATGCTGGGGTAGCAACAGTATCCTTTGCCATTACATGGAGTTTATATTTTTGTCTGGAGCTATACTTTTTCTATTATTAGTGGCAAACTGAAGGTGTCATTGACCAGATAGCTGTTTTTATCTCAAGTAGATTTATACTGGCATGTCATTGATTTATCTCATGGTCTAATTACAGGCCCATAATAGTTGCATTTGTTAGATCTTGGGACATCATAGTCATCAAGAATTTTCCATAAAGGAATTTTCATTAAATAATCTCTGTTGTATCTGCTGATACTGTGGAAACAGTTTGGGTATGAAAGGAAATTGAGTAAATGTCTCTGGTCTCTAGGAAGATTGGGCTGAGGTACCAGTGGGACCTGGTATGCTCAGAAATGACAGCTGAAGTTATGAAAGTATGTAAAATTATTAATTTATTGTATTTTTATCTTTCTGTTTGCCCTGCAAAGAACCCAGGGAGACTTACATAATCCCCCTCTCCATGAAATATATTTCACAGGTGTATTTAATGCAATATATTATACAATATACTTCATTGGAGTATAAAGTGTTTATTCCAGTCAGAATATATTAGTAATTTTGGTTACCTATCTGGGTAGTTTAAGCAAAACTTCAACTATTATAATTTCCTCCTTGTAGTGTTACCACTTGTAGACCGGTGATTATCAGTATTTGTGGTACTAACAGTCCTCCTCTGTGCCTCACCTCCAGGACACAGAGAAGTTGTTTTTGTTATAGTTCGTTCATTTTTTATTGGATTTATATCCCTCATTAGCCAGGAAGATTCCTTGAGTGGGTTACAAAATTATAAAATGTATAATAAAAATGTGCATGCATATTCTCTCTCTCTCACGCTCCCCATAGAAAAAGAATAGTCCAGTTATTTTGCTTAGAGAAATGTCCATGGTTTGGTGCTAGCCCAGCTTCTCTGTTCAGCATCTGAGTAACAGAAAGAATTAGCTGCCAACCCTGCAATATTGACTAGGCAGGTAACAGCAGTGAGAAAACTGGGTTTATATTTTTTTCCTGATTTGGCAGAAGGAAGGGGACAGAAGAAAAAGCAGTGAGTAGTTTTGGCTATTCTAAGCCATAAATTCTAAAAGAATTTTTCATTATCAAAACACACATACAAGAATGTAAATATTTTTCAGATTTTAATTTATACCTTTGGTAAACTGATTTCTTATTCAGAGTCTACTGATTTAACTTAAGCACATCTTTGTGTGATGTGTATATATCAGTTTTTTAAATGGTTAATAAAATAGTTTTATATTTTTCCATTTTTCATATAACGTATCACTAGAAATGAACCGAGTTATAATTCACTATTTTCTCTTTTGATTCTTTCCAAACTGTTTTGGCAATTATAATTATTATTATTATTATTAGAACATTTCTATGCCGCCCCTTGCCGAAGCCTCGGGGCGGCTTACAACACAATAAAATACAATACAATACAAAAATAACAATATAAAATTAAAATTAATGTTATAAAATAAATAAAAAATATAAACGATATAAAAGAAGTTATAAAAGAAAAGTTATAAAAGAAAAGAAAAGAGAAGTCGCCCTGGCCAGATAAATAAGTAAATATTGTTAACAATTAAAATGACGTTTAAATAAAAAGGTCTTCACCTGACACCGAAAAACAAATAACGACGGCGCCAGGCGGACCTCTCTGGGGAGCACATTCCATAGATTGGGCGCCACCGCGGAGAAAGCCCTCCTCCGAGTACCTACCCTCCTAATTTCTTTCACGGAGGGTTCCCGGAGAAGGGCCTCTCCCGCAGATCTCAAGGGGTGGGCGGGCATATATGGATGTAAGCGCTCCTTCAGGTAACCAGGTCCCAAGCCGTTTAGGGCTTTATAGGTCATAACCAACACTTTGAATTGGGCCCGGACTTCAATGGGAAGCCAGTGAAGCTGTCGGAGAATTGGAGTCATGTGAACATAACGCCCCGTCCCCGTCAGCAACCTGGCAGCTCTATTTTGAACCAATTGAAGTATCCGGACTATCTTCAAGGGAAGCCCCACGTAAAGCGCGTTACAGAAGTCTAGGCGGGAAGTCACCAGCGTGTGTGTCACCGTCGCCAGGCAGTCGTACTCCAGGTAGAGGCGCAGCTGATTAATCAGCCGAAGCTGAAGGAAAGCGCTCCTCGCCACCGCTGTCACCTGAGCTTCTAATGAAAGCTCCGGGTCGAGGAGTACTCCTAAGCTGCGGACCTTGTCCCTAAGAGGGAGTGCAACCCCATTCAGGACCAGGTCAAATCCACCCTCTCCGAAGCCCGATCCGCCAACCAACAGGACCTCCGTCTTGTCTGGATTGAGCTTCAGTTTATTGGCTCTCATCCAGCCCATTACCTCGGCCAAGCACCGGTTCAGTACAGCCACTGCCTCACCTGGATTGGTGGACAACGAGAGGTAGAGCTGGGTATCGTCAGCGTACTGGTGATTCCGCAGCCCACACCTCTTGATGACCTATCCCTGTGGTTTCATATAGATGTTAAACAGCAAAGGGGACAAAATGGAGCCCTGTGGTACTCCATGGCATAGCTGCCATGGCACAGAGCCATAGCCCCCCAGCACTACCTTCTGGAATCGGCCGTTGAGATAGGAGCGGAACCACTGCAAAGCAGTGCCTCCGACCCCCAATCCCGCTAGCCTATCCAGAAGGATACCATGGTCGATGGTATCGAACGCCGCTGAGAGGTCCAGAAGAACCAACAGGGACGCACTCCCCCTGTCCTTCTCCCTGCACAGGTCATCGTACAGGGCGACCAAGGCAGATTCAGTACCATACCCGGGTCTGAAGCCGGACTGAAATGGGTCCAGATAATCAGTTTCATCCAAGAGTGCTTGGAGTTGTCCCGCCACCACCCGCTCTAACACCTTGCCCAGAAACGGGATGTTGGCCACTGGTCTGGATCCAGTGACGCTTTCTTCAGGACCGGTCGGACTACCGCCTCCTTTAAAGGGGCAGGTACCCGATCCTCCCTCAGAGAAGCGTTAACCACTTCCAAGATCCAGGTCCCAATCCCGTGCTTGGAATTATTTATTAACCAAGACGGGCAAGGGTCCAATAGGCAAGTGGTGGGACGTACTCGTCCAAGCACCTTGTCCACATCATCGGGCCGCAATAACTGAAATTCATCCAATAATTCTGGACCAAATGGCAGCATTGGCGTCTCCCCAGAAACCTCTGATTCATTAGTGGAGCCCAGCTTGTGACAAATCTGAGCGATTTTCTCCCTGAAATGCCTGGCAAAGTCATCACAGCGGGCCTTTGAGGGTGGAACCGGATCTTCCTTGGGACCCGGGCAAACCAGGCCTTGCACCACTCGAAAAAGCTCCGCCGGACGGCATTGTGAGGAGGCAATGGAAGTGGAAAAAAACTTCTTTTTCGCCGCCTTCACTGCCACAGCATAGGCCCGATAGTGGGCTCTCAAGTGTGTTCGGTCAGATTCATCCCGTGATTTCCTCCACCTATGCTCTAGCTGTCTCCCAACCTGCTTCATCGCCTGCAATTCAGGTGTATACCAAGGGGAAGAGCAGGCTCTGCCCGGTGGGAGAGGATGCTTAGGAGCGATCATGTCCACAGCCCTGGTCACCTCCCTGTTCCACAGTTCGACCAGAGCCTCGACAGGAGCACCAGTCTTGTCAGCCGGAAACTCCCCCAGGGCTTTCAGGAATACATCCGGATCCATCCGGCTCCGGGGGCAGACCCACACAATCGGGTCCGCACCCTTACAGAGGGAGAGGTCGCTCTCGAGCACAAACCTCACCAGGAAGTGATCTGACCATGACAGGGGAGTCAAACATAAATTTCTCACCCTCAGGTCACCCTCTTCCTGCCCCGTTGAGAAAACCAGGTTCAGAGTGTGTCCACGTTCATGGGTTGGGCCGGAGACATGTTGAGACAGGCCCATGGCCATCATGGAGGCCATGAAGTCCTGAGCCGCCCCGGTTAGACCAGACTCAGCATGGAGATTGAATTCCCCCAGGACCAACACCCTGGGGGTCCTCAACACCAGGTCCTAGACGGTCTCCGTCAGCTCAGATAGGGAGCCTGTTGGGCAGAAGGGTGCACGGTACACCAACAGAATCCCCAGTCTGTCTCGTTCACCCAACACCAAGTAGAGGCACTCCAGCCCTGGACTCGAAGGGACCGGAAGTCCTGTGAGAGGGATGGAGGCTCGGTAAACCAAAGCGACCCCCCTTCCCCTCCCCTCTGGGCGTGAACAGTGCTGAACCAGATAGCTGGGCGGGCACAGTTGAGAGAGGGCAACATCCCCCCCCCCCGCCCAGGTCTCCGTTATGCAAGCCAGGTCGGCCCCTTCCTCCACAATCAAGTCATGGATGAGAGAAGATTTATTATTGACTGACCTGGCATTGAGCAGCAGCACTGTCAGGCCTGAGGGGCGGTTGACAAGGCTACCTGGCACCCTCTGGCTGGGGGCAGAACCAGAAAGAGGGACAGGTGTCAGCCATCTGTCCCTCCTTCTTCTACGTGGACACGTAAAGCCCCCACTGCTGTTACGCCCATTGCCCATGACCATGCCAATGGCAGCGCCCGCGCGCTCCCCAGGAAACATAAACGTCGACATGGCCAGGGACGACTCCATAAAACAAATTAAACAGAATAAAATTATAAAAGCAGTTAAAGAAAAGAAGAGAAGAAAGGGAAAAAAAATTCCCCCTTCCCTAATATTCAATGGCAGGCGGGTCAATTTCAACAAAACAAAAGCCCCTGGCCAGCCCAGCCCCCCCGCTCGGCCCCCGAACGGCTCCCAACCGGCGGCGACTGCCCTTTGGTCATCGGCCGCCAGCGGCGCTTTGAGTCCGCAGGGAGCTTCCGAAGCCCCGCCCGGTCCCGCACGCCCTAACCTGTGCGGGGGGGGCGGGGCAACCCGAACTGGACCTGCGTGCTGGCCGGTGGTACTGGCCTCTGTCGGCGGATATAATATAACAATTAATATAATTGTTATCTAATTATACTTAGATAACAATTGCCTAAAGTTCATTGTGAGCTCTCTTCATATTTTCCCTTTATAACATGATTAATTGGCTGTTTCAAGACAAAACAGCTTTTGCGCATGTGTGTCACAATAGTCACTAATTTTACATTATTACTAAAATTAGTGACTATTTATTTCACATTATCGTCAATAATCGGTCTGAGCATTTTAAGTATGCTCAGCCACCTCTCTTTTGTGGCAGATCCAAGAAACACCTCATTCTGACTTTAAATCTCATTACCTTATACTTTCTATCCATGCAGGTTCAGTAGTATGTAGTTTAGATAATATTTACTTCCATGCCTGACAAAGCCCTAATTACCATGATGCTCATAGTAATGTTAAAGGGTGATGTGGGTATGGAGTGTAGACAGGTAAACACAGTGTTGGCTTACCAGGATTTTGCCTGGCTTCCTCATTCATTCACAACACCAAAACGTGTTGCTTCTTGCTAGTAAGAACATTTCAGTAAATTTTCCTGCTTGTAGGATAATTATAACTAGCTACTTGAACTGCAAATAGTATAGCAAAAATTACCCTGATAACAAACGGGTCAATTTTCTGAGTCTTAAATTTTCCTTTAGTTGGTAACTGACCGAAGAGAACGTTTCCCAGAAGGCAAGCATGTTTTCATTGAGAGGGGCGGGGGGAGATACCTGTGTATGTGTCATCTTTGTGTTGTGTTATGTGGAAGGAATCCCTGGGCTTAGAGCTGTCATTTGATAACTTGGAACATATCCCGCATCATGGAACATGTGGGTACAGCAGTTCCAGTGAGGCTAGGCTGAGGTGCCTGCCATATTGTTACTCCCTGTATAAGCCAATGAAAGGATTTCTTACAGGGTTTTTAGGGAGTGAAAATACAGCCCCTGCATAAAACTGGTGGTGGTGGTGAGTTCATCTCCCATCAAGTACTCTTGGGGTAACAGGGTCCTTCCTGTGGAATGAGTTTTGCCTCCCACAGCTGATTTTTGGCAGGGGGCTTTTTTTATTCAATTCAAGCTTCATAGGAAAAAGCCCCTTGTCAAAATTGGTTGGAGAAGGAACAACATGCACCACTGAGCATCACTGAGCAAGGGCCCTTGAGGTGACTCTGGAGAGGCCTTAGTCAGATGGCAGACTTCCCCACTTCAGCTCTTACTTGACAGAGAGGGCGTTTTGCTTCCTATGTAAATGAAGGGAAAGTGCTCCACTCAGTTGCATGGGGGAGGGTGTGTGTGAGAGACAGAGGAGCCAAAGGGAGCAGGAATAAGGGCCCAGAGAGAACAAAATAAGTGGATGTAGAAGGAAAGGACCAGAGAGGTGGGAGGGAGGGCGCTAGGAAGAAAGAGCAGCCAGGTAGATGGAATGACGAAAAAGAAAAAGAGAAGCCAGAGAGTAAACAGAAAATAGGACCGCTGAAAGTCCAAACTATATGAGCTATTGCTGCCTTCTGCTTAGCATGCCACAGTTAATGTCAGAACCTAATGGATGACTACTGCTTGCAAGTGTTGGCAGCAACCAACACTGCGGTTCTGTCTGTGGTGAGCAGAAGTGACTGCTAGTGCAATGGGAATCTGGCACTTGCTACTGCAGCCTTGGAAAAGTAGACCAAACTAGTGCCTCTGGGATTGGTCAAGTTGGCAGTGTCCCAAAAAGGTGTTCTACTGATTTGTCCCATTTCTGAAGCATTAGTTTCCATTTGTGTCATCAAAGTAGCTTCCTACTGCACTAGCAGTCATTTCTCTTAATGCAAAGGTTACTGATCATTAATTTTCATCACAATTGCAAAACCTTTTGCAACAGCAATCATTGCTTTAAATTGTATGTGGGTAGTTGGTACCAAGAGGTCATGAACACATTAAACTGCTCCATATTTAAAAAAAAATAATTAACTTGCATTGAATGGAAGCTAGGTGAAATTTATCTCTTGAAAAGAAAAAATACTAAATGACACATCATTTTGAATCTCTCAAAAGCTGAAATGACTTTCCATCTGTGTTTATAATTAATGGTAACTTGCAAAAGAAATTGCATAATATTTAAAAATCAGCATGACTCTGGAAAGCACATTTATTTTCCTTTTGAATTTTATGCTATTTTATATAGTTAAAGGAGCTTAGATTAATAACCTTTTCTTCTTGGATACTGTACAACCCTTTGTGGCATGTTCCATGACTTTTGTTTCAGATAATTTTCTGGTCACTGCCTCTGCTCTTGGTGATAAAATAGTGATTTCAAATTGTAAAGGTAAACCAGTTCCGCTCTTTGAACTAGCTGAAGGGGTAAGTAAAGCAGTCTCTTTCTTGGTAATCTTACAGTGCAGTCGCCTTCATGTTTACTGAGATGTAAGTCCCTTTTAATTAAATGTGGTTTATTCCCAGGTAAGTTGTTATGGGATCACAGTCTCAGGCTGTTATTTTGTCTCTTTTCTGTTGCAAAAATATTTTTTTCTGTAGTAAATAATTACTACAGAAGTAAGCAAAAGCTATGAGTTATTTGCTGCATTTGGATATAGTGCTAAACCATAAGGTAGCAATTATAAGGATAATTCATATTGAATCTAAGGGTCATGTGCTTTTCCTTTCTACTTCTTTGCGGCTGCTAAGAAATTGAAAGTCTTAGCTTTCATTTTAGATTAACTACAACTTAGTGTGTCATTTGAAACTGAACAAACTTAATATTTTTGGTCAATCATAGTTATGGTCATTCCTGCACAGAACGTACTTATAAGCAGGGCTTTTTTTGTCCAGCACCATTTTTAATGGATTTTACAAAGTGATTTTGAACAGCATAGCAGTTCAGCAGCAAACATCATTAACATAGTGCCTGCAGGCTGCTATTGTGTCTGCTATCTGCTATCTGATAGTGAGAGAAAGCTGCTTGGGAAGCTGCTCCCGGCTTGGGATTGGTGTGTGTGCTCACTGCCTGCTGGGATGTGAGTTCCTTCCGGCACCATTTTTTTTAAACAAAAAAAGCACTGCTTATAAGTATAATGATTTTAAGAGTCTGAAAAATTTCAGACATGATTTGATATCATGATGTGTGAACAGGTCCAAGGTTTAGCATTGACTAGCCCCTCTTTTTAAGGATCAAGTAGTGCAAAGCCTTATTCAGAGATGGGCAACTGCAGAGAGTCTGGGGCCCAATTTGATGTATGTCCATAAATTACATGCAAGCTAAATGTTAAATATTCCTCTCCCCACCACAATTCCTACATTTTACTTTCTCTAACTGGAATTTGCTTTAGAATTTGGTGGACTCTACATTTTATTACCTTTGACTGTAGAACATTGATTTTAATGCATCTAGATAATCACCTCTGGTTGTATTAAGTTTTTAAATTTTTATATCCAATCTTTCTGCATGGTTGATTTTTCTCTTTTTTTCTAACTAGGCAAAGCAAACATGTATAAATTTGAGTTCAAACTCGATGTATATTGCAAGTGGGGGCACTGATAGCACTGTTAATATTTGGGATTTAAAATATAGAAAACTTCATCGATCTCTTAAGGTAAGGCAAGGTATTTTCTGTCTTGACTCTTTTCTGTTAAACTGTGTAGCTCTCAAAATAATAAATTCTCCATCCTCCAACTTTGGACTCTGATCTCTGAAGTCCGATATTCAATTCAGTTTTCCTATCTTAGATGTTTTTGTTACTAGTGTGTTTTGTGGATTGTATGGATTATCATTTGATTACACAGTAATTGGAAATTAAACTGCCTATTTCATACTACCCTTGTACAAATCTGTGGTGTTAACTGCATGTAGAATACTGTTAAGGTTACTGTTCCTGGAAAAGGATATTATCAAGTAGGAAAAAGCACAGAAAAGGGCAACTAATATGATCAAGAAGATGAAGTAACTCCCCTATCAGGAACAGTTACAACATCTGGTATTGTTTTGCTTAGAAAAAAGGCAAGTAAGGGGAGACATTAGAGAGGTATATGAAATTTTGCATGATGAAAGTGGATGGGGGCTTTTTTCTCCCTTGGTCATACCAGAACCCAGGGTCATCCCAGGAAGCTGATTGGTGGGAGATTCAGGACAGACAAAAGGAAGTACTTCACACAGTGCGTAGTTAAACTATGGAATTAGTATGTAGTGATGGCCACCCATTTGGAGGGCTTTAAAAGGAGACTGGATAAAATAATGGAGGAGAAGACTATCAGTCACTACTTGTCTTGTCTGCCAATATGCTGCTTCGATTATATAGGGCAGCATGCCTGTGTATACAAGTTGTTTGGAAACTTGTGCAAGAGGATGCTATTGGACTGATGTCCTGCTTGTGAGTTCCCATAGTCAGGTGGTAGAATGTTGTAGTTGTACACCTGGCCTGATCCATCATGGATCCTCACTTGTTCTTGGGGTGGAAGGGTGGGCCACCAGCTGTATTCTGCAGTAGAAAAAGGCTCTGTCACATGTTCCAGCCATGAATGGTAGTGAGATGCACATCGTATCATGGGTGTCAAGCACAGTGTGCAGACACATCAGTATGGAATGAGACTATTAGGTGTCCTAGTCCTGAAGGGTTTTTATTACATAGGATTTTCCCCTTCCAAATCTTCCCTTGGGGGTTTAGATATCTTTCAGAACAGTGAGAATGGTGGTACAGGAACCCTCAACTGTGAGAGAGAATTGCTAAAAAATTCTTCCTCCTCCAGCAGGAGCCTCCCCTTGATCAAAATACCTTCCATAAGTGGAAGGACACCCAATTGGAAGCAACTCAATCAGTTTGAAAGCTTCAGCATGTAGAAAAAACATATGGAATTATCCAGTCTGTGTTGAGAAATAGAACAGTCTCAGGAGAATTGCATCCCCTGCTCCACCTCAACTCCCAAATGTACAGATTGAGTCTTAGTTCTGTTGGGCCTTTAGATACAAGCCCAACTAAACATCTTGGTAACCACTTGGTCTTGGGTAACAGTTACAAAACTTGGTAACACTGACTTTTACTCTCTGATAGAACTCATTACCAAGTACATTATCAAGTTAATGCTAAAATTATCACTATCAATTGTTCTATGAAGCTGTAAGAGTTAGGAAGAGATAGGGTTAGAAGAGGTAAAATTGGAAGATGCTATGCTATGTGGATTGTGGGACTGCAGGTGGCACAGTGGTTTAAACCGCTGTGCTGCTGGGCTGGTAGATCAAAAGGTCACCGGTTCGAATCTGCACAACGGGGTGAGTACCTGTTGCTCTGTCCCAGCTCCTGCCAACCTTGCTGTTGAAAAGCATGCGAATGCAAGTAGATAGAAAGGTACCACTTTGGTGGGCAGGTAACAGTGTTCCATGCACTTCGGTGTTTAGCTATGCCGGCCACATGACCACGGAGTCTGTCTTCAGACAAATGCTGGCTCCCTTGGCTAGGAAACAGAGATGAGCACCGCCCCCTAGAGTCAGACATGACTGGACTTAATGTCAAGGGGAAGCCTTTACCTTTACGTGGATTGTAAATCTCAATTACTTCAACTTTGACAAAACAAGGGAGGCTATTAACACAATTCTAATACATGTCTGCTCAGTGGTAAGTCCCATTATCGTGAATGGGGTTTTATTGTAGGTAAGCAAGTATAGGGTCACAGCCTAAAATGGTTATTATGTAAATTCTTTAGAATAATGTGTACTCCATAATATGTCATGCCAATTTCCCTTGTATGATCATTTTTAGGATCACAAAGATGAAATAACCTGTGTTTCATTTAATTGGAATGATTGCTATGTTGCTTCGGGATCCATGAGTGGTGAAATTATCCTGCATAGTCTTGCTACAAATTTATCCAGCACTCCATTTGGCCATGGCAGCACTCAGGTAAAGTATGCTAGAACTGGAAAATGTTTCCAGTGACTAGATTCTCTTTAGGTGATCACTGGATCTCAGCATGGGATGGATTCTTTTTCAATTTTCTCCTACTGTAATTGCTTCCCTTTTTAGTAAGGTGATCCCAGACTCATGTATGAAAAGCGGCATAGCTTTAGGCTCTATTCTTGTATTTCTTTGGTGCATTGAGCGAGCAGTTCCTACAACCTTTGTTGTAGGATCTCTGGCCTTGTAAGAGAGAAGATCTTCCTGGAGTCACATCTTATCTCGAGATCAAGTCACAGTTGACGCCATTGTGCATTTGACCGAACTTCCAATTTGTAGTGGAAAAATGGTTTGTCTGAGTTCAGTCATAGATGATGTTAAATGTTTGTTTGTTTGTTTATTTATTTATTTTATTTAGAAAATTTCTAGGCCGCCCCATTCACCGAAGCCTCGGGGCGGCTTACAAATAAATAAATTAAAATACATAAATAACAATATAAAATACATGTAACTGTATAAAATAAGTCGCCCTGGCCAATGTTCAAGGGCAAAGGCAGAATTGTAAGTCCTTGTAAACAAATTGGGCTTTAAGGAAAAAAATGGTACACCAGTTTTTGAGTTTTAGTTCTTTTACACATAACCTACTCTGCTTCATGGGCTCAGTATGGCCTATTGGTATGCTAACATCTGAGATTTTTTTGTTAATGAAGTTGGCCCTCCAATTAGGGGAGCAGGACTCCTGCAAAAGTGGAAAAACGTGATGTGCTGGGGCATGGCATGCTCCATTGGGGCCTGTCTTGCATTAAATCACGAGCCTTGCATGTCCTGAGTCTGGCACCTGCCCCACCCTTGCTGGGGAAGTGCACTGTTCCTGGCTGGCCAGAGCGGTGACTGGGAAGGGAGCGTTTCCCACATGGCTGTCTGTGGACTAGTAGGCAGCAGGTTGCAAAACTTCAGAAAAAATCCCATGTAATTATAGATGGCAAAATTGCGAATAATCAAATCTGTGAAAGTCAACCCCTCTAAAGTCGAGGTTCTACTGTATTTTATTGAATTTTTTACTTTATGTATATTTAAGTTCATTCTCCCTTGCTTATTTACTGTTCTACCCCTTTTATATGTATGCAGATAGTAAAAGGAAAATGAAAAGAGAAAACAAAACAGAAGGAAAGAAAATACGTGGGGAATATGTGCCTCAACAGAACTGAAAAAGAAAAAGATCTTGGAGAAATTGTGGACAATAGGCTAAATGTTTGCCATCAGTGTGATGCAGCCACCAAAAGGGCAAATGCTATTTTGGGATGCATTAACAGAAGTATTGTTTCCAAATCATGAGAAGTAGTAGTTCCCTCATGCTCCTCACTAGTCAGGCCTCATATGGAATACTGGGTCCAGTTCTGGGCACAAAGATTTAAGAAAGATGCATCAAAATTAGAAAAGGTCCAGAGGAGGGCAACAAAAATGATCCAGGGTTTGGAAACACTGCCCTATGAGGAGAAACAGAACTGGGCATGTTCATCCTTGAGAAGACTGGGGGGCGGGGCATGGTATCCCTCTATAAGTACCTCAAAGGCTGTCACAAAGAGGAAGGTCAAGATCTCTTCTTGCTAATTTATTTATTTATTCATTTATTTTTTGATTTATATCCTGCCTTTTTCCTACAAAGGGCTCAAGGCAGCTTACATCTCCTCCTCCATCTAATATCAGAGTGCAAGGTACAGAATAATCAAGTCAAGCTGTGACAGCCCAGGTTCAGGCTAGATTGTCTGAAAAGGAAAAGTTTTCTTGCTGTCAGAGCAATACAACAGTGGAACCAGCTCCCTAGAGAGGGAGTGGGCTCTCCCACAGTAGAGACATTCAGAAAGAAACTAGACAGCCATCTGAGTGGGATGTCATAACTTGGTGTCCTGCAACAGCAGGGGGTGGACTCAGTGACCTTTATGGCACCTTCCAACTCTATTAGTCTATGATTCATTGAAAAGGTATATGTAATTAATTGGTTCCATGAAAACTTGTATTGAAGTAAAGATTAAATTCACACTCTAATATGATTTAAATGGCATCTGACTCCAAAAATTCATCCCATACATGGTAAAATTTTTCCAGGTTATCCCTCCTTGTAACTGAAGTTTATGGCTGAGCAGCTACTTGTGTCAACATAACACCTTGCTTACACTTCTTTTTCGCCCTCTGTATTAATTGTTCTGGCATTATTACCAGCATTGTTTAGTTACATCACTTCTTAGCACCATTGGTAGGAAAAGCTCTCCAGAGATGATGATTTATTTTTATGAGTGTGTGTGTTTACCAAACTCACATTTCCAGAAGGCTGAAAAAGTTCAGTGTTTAATGTGTGCAGCTCTGCAAAAGCTGTGGCAACAGCACAGTATTCATTAGAAGCAAAAGCCCAGTTTGTGAAAGATCTGGTGTTCTTCATTGTTATCATCCATCAGTTATATTGATGCAAACTTTTTCATAATAGCCAGATTGCTCTTTTTAAAAAAGCCACCTCATAGCAGAGCTAATAAAGTTGTCATAGCTGTGCTTTGTGTGTGGCTTATTTGGGAAACAGTCTCTGACAGTTATTGATGGACAATGTGTTATCATTTAAAGACCAAAGCAATGAAAACAGGGGAGCTGGATCTGAGTTGCAGTGATAAGGTGCTGAAAGACCTACAGCTGGGTTACATTGACTGGTATTTTCTTTGTGTACCTTGCACTTTTCCTTGCTGCTGTTCATTTTGTTGTTAACTTTTCACCATGTTCTGATAAAGGAAGATTGGATCACTCTTAAACCTTGAGGAATATTAGTGTAAACTATAAGGCTGTCATACTTATATGACAGATGTAATCTAAAGAGAGGCCAGATATATTTATGATGAAGTAATTAAATGATGTTTAAATATTTGCTGTGATATCAAATGCACATTACTACAGGAAACCAGTTATTTTGTTGTATGGCATAATGCAGAAGCATTACGGATTTCAATTTTTCTGTCAGCTGCCTGCTTAGACCTTTTTCTTTTTTTGGTTCTTATTTACTTCACTCTAATATGGGACAGAAGAAAGACAAAGACAAATGGAAGGAGGAGTTAGAGGAACCACAAGGGAAGAGCCTTATTAAGAGAGTTGCAAGGAGATTGGAGGAGAAATAATGTGGATTGCTTTAGGGCTTTTTGTTTCTGTTTTATTTTTGCTTTCTGTGTGCTTTCCCCCTCTTCATTCCAATAGCTGTTGTTATATGAGAAAAATGAGACATAGACCAGGCTATTTAATTTAAAACTTCAGTGACTTTTTGAACCTACTGGGTCTTCTTCAGGTTCCTTTTTCTTGTTATCTGTTCTTGAAGTTTAATTCCTGGCAGTCAGATCTGGCACATGGATTATGCATGTGTCCTTGTTGGCCTTTTGTAGGGTTGGAGAAAGAAACTTCAATAAATCTCAAAAGATGTACTATTAGTTTCTTCTTCCTAAATGCAGAACTTTGCATTTGTCCTTGTTAAATTTTATTCTGTTGTTTTCGGTCCAGTGCTCCAGGCTATCATATTCTCTATAATATCATATCATATTCTTTTGGTCTTTCATCTACAAATTTGATAAGCATTATCTTAATTTTCTCTTCCAAATGATTTATAAATATGTTGCAGAGCACTGGGCTCAGGACTGAACCCTATCGTACCCTACCCTTTGTCTCTCCCCAGTTTGAGAAGGTACTATTGATAAACACTCTTTGAATCCAGTCCAGTATCCAACTGATAGTTCTATCTAGTTCACTTTTAGCTAGTGTGCTAAATGGGATATCATGGAGCACTTTGTCAAAAGCTTTACTGTGTCAAGATATATTATGTTCACAGCGTTCCCAAAGTCTACCAGGGAGGTTACCCCATTAAAAATGAGACTTCCAGCCTTCTGTACATTATATTTTAATGTGTGTTCAGAGCATACTAGATACCTACATCCTGTAGGAGCCTTTATTGATTCTGTATGTTTTCCATGTATTTGGAATTAGGACAGTTATTTCTCTGAAATTAGTACAGTTATCTCATGGTAACAAAAAATGCATTTAACTTAAAGCCTGTTATGCCATCCATTTCAGGTCTAAAGTATCTTATTGAAACACAAGCCCAGTCGTGAAAACTCTTAACAGACTCTTAAGCTTGGCATTCTGTTAGAATTCTAAAGTTTGCATTGTTAAGGCAAAAATGCCTAGCTTGAAAAAGCTGTTCAATTTTAATTGCATGTCATTCCAGTGACACTTCAATGGCAGACTTGCTGACGAAATGGCTCTTCTTGTAATAAAGATGTGGTATCAATGCTGACATTCACTTAAAGAGTTTTCAGGTGTTACTTTTTCTGTTTTTCCACTACTGGACATTGTGTCAAACTCAATCTCATCTGTGCTTGGTATGAGTGCTAACAGACTTAAGCCAGAACGGGCTGATTTTTCATGAAGTTCTTTGACCTCCATTTTATGTATTTCTCTATTGCGAAAACCATTGGGCCAGCACTTTCTAATTTGCTCTGCTGTCCTAAAACTGCCATAGTGCCACAAAAAGGGGAGCATTGGCTTAGTTGCCCTGGCAAGAGGGTTGGGCTCTTTTTTCTCCTCTATCCCCCACCTCACATTAAGGATCATAGGAAGGCTTCATTTGCTCTTAGTAATGTTGGTGCATAGCTAAACATAGATTACTACATAGCCCTACATAGATTACTACATCTGTGAAGAGATCACACTTGAGTACTTGGTCCCTAATAACAACGCTATTTAAAAATATGTATTGTAGTGAGAGAAAGCATGAAATGAGGAAGTCTGTCAACAGGCATAAGAAAAGTGACTCTTTTTGGCAGAGTCAGGGAAAGAGGTCTGCAAACACTTTGGGACTCTTTTGGCACATCCCTTTCTTGCTATGAAAATATATGATAGTGAAAAGTCAACTTGCCAGTCATTTAACCAGTGCATATCTGCAAGTTGCCTGTAAACTGGTGCCATCCTCTCCTTTGTCTCCACCTTTTTACATGCATTCTCAGAACAAGCATTTCCCTAAATCTAGTAATTTGTAGTAGTAAATCTAGTAATTGTTTTCTTGTTTGCTGGCTGAAGAGATACTGGGCAAGTTTGCACTTCACAAGATGTCAACCTGAGAATAAGCCATTGTGGGTGGGTAGTTTGTTTCCTATTCCTGAAAGATGATTGCTCACTTAGCAGCTTGCCATCTTAGCCTCTCTCAGTCTTCTTGGCTGCTGCCAGCAAATTTCTGAAGGGTCTTTGGGGCAGACAGTTTTGTTTCCTTGTTCCCTGTGTCAGCATCCTTTCTGTAAGTTGTCCAGTGGGGTTGCTAATTCATGAAAGAAGTTCCCTTACATCAGATTGCCAAAGAGATTTAAGTGGCCGAGCCCTTATGTATATGCGTATTGTTGCGGGGCCGGACTATAGTTTGAAAAAAATATGAATGAATTCCTATGCATACTGCTCATTAAAATTAATTAAAATTAAAATAAATTAAACATTAATTAAAATAAAATTAAAATTAAAAATAATTTAAAATTAATCAAATTTTTTAAAAAATGAAAACATTGAAAAAATGTTTGCTCCACTTGCTTGGGCTGCAGCAGAAGCCCAAGATGAGGTGGGGTAGAGCATGCCCATATCCAAGGGACATAGCTACAATGTCTGCGATCATGCTGGGCGTGGGGGAGGAGATGGCCATGATGGTGCTGTGGGGGGAGGCGGGCATGATTCCTCTTTTCAATGGAACTTTCTCCCTATGTTAGGGTTAGGGGTGTGCACCAGGGTAGGGTTAGGGTTGGGAAAACGAGAGTGCACCTGTATAGGGTTAGAGAAGTGGTGGTGAACCAGTGACACGCATGCCACAGCAGGCACGCAGAGGCCTCTATGTCAGCACACGAGCTAAGTCACCCCAGCATCCCCCCAGCAGCCGAGCATCAGATAATAGTGCCATGATGGGCCATGCGCATGCCCAGAAAGGAGTAGCGGTATCAGGCGATGATGTCACTATCTGTGACTCATTAGCTGTGACTCTTCCAAGCTTTCCCTTGGCCTGTCAGTGTGCTGCCAAGGATATATAAATATTTGAATGGACTGGCTGTGAGGTGTTTTTTCTAAACTAACCTCAGTTTTCAAGTTTTATTGTAATGTTGGCACTTTGTGATAAATAAGTGGATGTTGCGCTGCAATTTGGGCACTTGGTCTCTAAAAGGTTTGCCATCAGTGGCTTAGAGACTTCTCAGTGTCCTCCAACTTTTCCATAGTTTCCTGATTCTCTAGTTGTTTTGGAAATGTAAGATCTATAACACCTTTTCCTGGGTATTTAACTGCTTCAAAAGAAGTGAGGTTTGTTTTGATGGAATTCATATGCAGCCATGAGAAATTCAGTTCTTAAGAAAACTAGTAGTAAAACCTTAGTTTCTATAGATATATTTAATACTGTCCCCTCACACAATCCCTGTAGGTTCAAACCTTCATTAAAATAAAAAATAAAAATGTTCTAGCCATGAAGACTGGTATTAGTCATACTTATTTAATCTGAGCATCTGATTACTTCACTGTAGTTCTCTAGTGCTGAATCTTGACTGAATTACACTTTAATTTTAAGTAACTTAAATCTGGTTCATACTAACAGGACTAAAGTCTAGCTAACTTTACTTGGATCCAGCCAATATATGTGTAGAAGTTATGGCATGTTCTAACATATGTGCTTTTTGTTGTTACAGCCTATTCGACACTTAAAATATTCTCCCTTTAGGAAAGCATTACTGGGCAGTGTCTCTGACAGTGGAACTGTTACTTTGTGGGATGTCAACAGTCAAACTCCTTATCATAACTTTGAAAATGCCCATAAAGCTCCAGCCTATGAGATCTGTTTTTCTCCAATCAGTGAGCTGCTGCTTGTAACTATAGGTCTGGATAAAAAAATCATATTGTATGATACTTCAAGTAAAAGGTAAGTATTTAATGGAATTTATATACTGCTTTTCAGCAGCTGTTTACATAAAATCATAGGCTTTCTGAAATTTCTGAAATCATAGGCTTTGAACATAAAATCATAGGCTTTCTGAAATTGATGATCATCAAAAATCAGATGAAATTAAAAATCAATTTATGAAGGTTTGACATGGCTGGAATACTTTGGCATAACATGGATATGTTTAATCATTTGATTTTCATGTGGACACCTACACACACATTTTGAGACTTCATGTAAAATTAATTGTAGTGCGTAATAGAGGCCAATATCACATGACAAGCTAATGGAAAGCAAAGGAAGCTGTGTGTCCATAAGACAATTCCACAGTTGTATAATATCTTTATTAAGTTTAACCAAAATGTTACAGTATGAATAAGTCCTTGGATTCTCCAGAATTCTTCTTCTGGTCAAATATTAAATATCATAAAGTAGGATGGGAAGGAAAAGTGCTGCTTTGCAATTCAGTACACAAAGGCTGCATTTGGTTACACCTTAATGTACTAGGAGTAGACTTAAGTGTATTAGGCTATAAATAAAGGGGAAAAATAAAAACTGCACAGAGGGGGTGAATGCTGATGTGGGAGTTGCTTTTGCCATCCTACATGTTAAAATGCTTTTTGAGATGGAGGAGTTGCAATGGATCTGTATTTGTGCTTTAAAGAATACAGTCTTTCAAGTATTGTGCGAACATAGATATAACTTTAGTAAATAAGCATATGATATATGCACAGATAGTAAATAGCTTACTATTAAATGAACAAAAAGCTAAAACGATGGTGTAGTATAGTGTAAAGTGTTGGCTTTGAACCAGGAAGACCTGGGTTCAGGTCTTCACTTGGGCATGAAACCCACTACATAGTCTTAGGCCAGGAACACATTCTCAGCCTAACCTAATTTAAAATAAATTCCTTGAATGTTAAGAGGGGAAAAAACCATTTCACTTCAGAAACATAATGCAACATTGTGTCCTTTTTGTTTTTTCTTCCTTTGTTTTTTGCATTTTGATTTGCTATGTAAAGGCAATTAAGGACTTTAGTAGCAGAATCTCCTCTAACAGCAGTAGAATTCATGCCTGAAGGGACTTCTCTGGTGATTGGATCTTCTCGTGGAAAGATATACCATTATGACCTAAGAAAATTGACAGCACCTGTGAAATCAGTCAGTGCTCACAAAACCTCTGTGAAATGCATCACACTGCAGTACTATAATAGCTTTTCAAGGGTAAGGCATCTTGTACCTTCAGTGCTCAAATGTTGATTTAAAAATGTTGCCTAATTATGGTAAATGTATTCCAACAAATACATGAGATGTTTTTATGTTAATATATTGATATATAAGATATTAAGGAAGTGATCCTGTGGCTCCTAAATATTGCCTGGGGTAGGGTACAGGGTAATTTGGATTCCCAACTCTGAGGTCAGGGATGTTGCTTCAGTATTGAAGCTGAGCATATGTGCTCCAATCCTGCTTCCACCTTACAGCCAATGTGAAAAGAACTACTCTGGCTGTCTCTCTGAGGTTAGGGACTTGACCTAAAGGAGTAGTAAAGGGGTGTTCTGGTGAACAGGGAAGAGAGGAGACCTGGAGAGGGCAGGATTTGGTCTATTCTGGGTAGTCCACAGCTCCTTCCTCTACCTCTCCAAAGCCACCCCAGCTAGAAGCTGAAGACAGGCATTTAGTAAGAATACTGGGTAAGAGGAGCAGGAAAAGAAAGATAATCTTTGCTACTCCACCTTCTCTGAATCAGATGATTGTTAGCCTCCAAGTTCAGAGTCTCAACTGCATTATGCCCCAAGACCTGTAATTTTGGTTTTATTGAAATTAGAATTGCACAATTTTCACCTTTGAGTGATGCTTTCAGACCTTGATGGATTGCTTTCTGTGTGACTAGAATGCATCACTTTTTAAGTTCTCTTTTTATTTTTAAAATTGGTGTCTGGCTTTCTTGATACTGGAATCCTGTTAGCAACTGCCATAGAAAGAAAGTTGCTTCTATCCCTTTTCATGTACAGTAAAGCATTTCTGATTAAAGTTACTTTTGTTTCAGTCTAGTCTTAAAACATCTTCAAATAAGCAGGCTTGCAAAAGATCTGATAGCAAAACAGCAAGTAACACTGGAGGAATGCAGAATGCTGGCATGATCAAAAACCTTCCTTCTAACATACCTGCTACATTCTTGCCTCAGTCCATGCCAACAGCTGAAATTAAAGGAACTGATGTTATTCAGGAAAAATCAGGTAAAAATCCATGTGAAATCCAAGAAGCAGGGAGCGTATGCAAATACAGAATGTTGCAACTTTAACATTTGCTTAGTTGGTCCTTAAACTTAATTGGTCCTTAGTCCTCACACATTTGTGCCATTGAACTGATGTTTGATGTTTAAAGTTGATGCAGTATCACAAGAGCATCACCTTTGTTGCACAGTCAAACATTTTGTTTCGTCATTTTTTGCAGAAACAGTAGTATAGTATTCTCCTGGAGGCAAGCAAAACAGCAGTGTCTATCTCTTCCCCTTTTAACTTCAGAGCATTTGGAAATCTGGTTGTTACAGCTTTTGAAACGAAAAGATGAGTATAGCGCCAGGGGGTTTGAGTCACTTTGCCTTTTAAAAGATAGCACAACACCATCTCTCCTTGCACATCTTTCCCACACCCAGTAAATTCCTTGTTCTTTACCTCAGAGGAGGCAGCTGCTACTGCTGTAGTGCACTTTGACGCCTTGCCGTTTGGCAATCAGTTATCCCCCTCTCTTGGTACTGGCAACCTCCTCCTGTGCTGCAGATGAGATCAGTCATAGTTTTGTGTAGTACAGGTGAGAAACTCAAGCCCTCTGATCATTTATCATGGTTGGTGAGAGGTTCTGGTTTATTCAGTTTACCAAGTAAGTAACTCCAAAATAAAGATGAGAAACTTAAGGGTGGCTGTCTTTGAAACTGATTCCTAAACCTGATAAAACTGGCTTTAGCTCTGTTTTCTATTGCAAAAATATGCCAGGTTTTTGCAAATAACCTTGTTTTTTAATGTTTTACTATCTTAGAATTTTTAGTGCACATAGTCATTTGTTAATGTTATGTGGTAGTTCCTCACTAAACCGAAAAGGGCAGCATAATATATTTTTAAGAATGGAAAAAGCTTATAATGCATTTCCATTCACTTCCATGTGAAAAGAGTGTACAAGTTTTCTGTTAATTATGGATAGTGCCCTTTATTGTTAATACTGTCATTAAGCTCAAGGGAAAATAACCTACCAGTTTTGGCAGCTGGGGTAGATTCAGTGGCCACATGATGTCATAAGACAATAGGTTCTGCAGTGCCTAAGTTTAACTTGTCAGGCTGTTCTGATAATGGTAATAGCTTTTGCTTACGTTTCTAACCGTCTCCTTTGAAGTCAGTCCCGTTGATTTCAATGGGGCATGTTTCCAGTTAAGAATTGGCAGCCTCATGCCTATAATAAAATATCTTAGCTGCAATATGTTGAACTTGTTCCATTATTCTCCATTATTTGTAAAGTAATTTTAATTTGTCATTAAAATTACTCTTTTATTCAGGAAAATAGATGTGTTTCTCTTCTAGGATTCCCACGTAGCAGCAGTTTAGATGTAATTCCTTCCAAAGAAGTTGAGCATGGAAACACTTCTAATCTAAGTCATTTTGATGATTTGGGGAGAAGTAGTTTAGGTGACTTGTTCTCTCCATTACGAGATGGTAAGTTGATGCTGAAACTATTGAAATGTACATTTAGTGGCAAGAGACGCTGTCCTTTGGATTAAATCTGTATACCCTATTACTCTTACAGTTAAGATATTTAATACTTGCACTTACTTTTAAATTCATTTTTATTGTGAAAGTCAACTAAAATAAACAAAAAGGGAGTGCAAAAATATGAACAATTATAATATAAATAGATTTGTAAATATCAATATCAATGAGTATATATAAAATTAATATATTAGAATCCAACTTTTGCATAAACATAAACAACAACAAACTACATAAACTTCAACAAAATTAGACTAGATATCCAAATAAGTGTTCATTAGAGTGTGACATCTATTTGCCACCCATTACCCTATAGAAAACATTCAAATATTTGAAAAGTTTCAGTCATACCAATAGTGTGAAGTATACACATGCAATTCAAAATTGTTATAAGCAGATTAATAAGGATTTCTCATAAGTTAGCAGATAGTGCCCTTTTGAAGGGACTGGGTCTGCTTCTCTGAAAATACAGTATTCCAGGGTTGTTAACTTAGAATCTGAATCAGAACTGGAAGAAGAGACAGGGCCAGAAAGCGGAAATGTCAAGACTGGCATGTCCTGAAATGGTGAAACATGGTGGGACAGACAGAGCTAGAGAGGAGCATATGTAACATGGTCTGTCTTATTCTGCATCAGATCAAAACAGGAAACCCTTTGAGACCAGTTGAGTAGGATTGGATATGCCTGCTCTCTGGCCCACAAGGAGTAGGAACCACCATGAGGATGGCATTAACTTCTTTTGGTTGGGAAGGGGCAAGAGGGGTTCAGTTTGGAATAATCTTTTTAGCATGAGCCATATTTCCTTTACAGCTGGCATTCTAACTTTGCTGGTATCTTTTGTTAATGATTTCTGCAGTGTTGCTTTTGTATTCCTTGGCTACCCAACGTTAGCATAATAAAGACTGTAGTTAGAAGCTTCTGATCTTGATCTGCTTGGAGACAGATCTCTGACACCTTTTAAGTTCTATTCTCAAAGCTTTATTTTCTATATTAAAAGGTTAAACAGATGCTGCTGCTGTTGAACAAATGAGCTGGCAGAACTGTTCTCTCTGTACAGGGTTTTTTTTCTGTTTTACAGTCAGTATTTATTGTTCTGATATCTTGCAGATATTGCAGCTGGTAAAACAAGTGAGGATGCTCCAGGAAAGGGTGATGGTAAGTGATTTTTGTAATAAGCTTTTTATTGCAACAGTTTAAGTAGCATAGTACAGGGATAAGGAACCTCTGACTTAACAAGTGAAGGCTTGGGCCCCCTCTATCGGCCTTGTCTCCAATGTTGAGTGGGATTACTGGGAGCTTGGGGGAAGGATCCCCTCATTATCTCCAATCTCTGGTTACCAAGAACACAGGAATTCCCCAGTGTGCCATTCCCCCTGCTAGTTGGTGAACAAAGCCATTGAAAAGATTAGTAAAGCTGCCTTGAGTGGTGTGGCAAGTTCAAGCTGAATGTGTTTCACTTGTCCATTGCCTTCCCTGTATCGAGGAACAAGAAGCTGCCTTAACATTGGCCAGCAAATACAGTGGTACCTCGGCTCACGAATGTCTTGGTTCACAACCAAATTGGGTCGCAAACAAAAATTTCATGAACATTTTGATGTGGGTTGCGAACTCCGCATTGGGTGGTGACCAAGTTTGCAGCCATCTACCCACCTTCCCAAGATCACAGGCGTGCTCCTGCAGGAAAGACGGGCACAGTCTCGGTCATCTCCCCCCCTCCACCGCAACCAGCACAGTCACGGCCATCTCCCCCGCTCCCCCCAGTGAGGAGATGGCTGTGATCGTGCCGGGGGTGGGGGGGAGTTGGTTGAGATCATGTCCGTCTCTCCCTCCCCCAGTGTGCCCACAATCGCACCTGTCTCTCCCCCCTCCGTCTGATTAAAAAAAAATGGCTACAAAATGGATTAACCTTATTTACATTGAACCTTATGGGGAAATTTAACTTGGCTTATGACCAATTTGGGTCATGACCAGAGTCCTGGAACAGACTCTGTTGTGAGCCAAGGTACCACTGTTTTGGAGCTTTTCTGGCTGAACCCATTCACTTTACATGCTGCTTGCTATCTCAACTGGAATAGGAAGCAGTTCATGAAGCAGGCAGGCAACTGACTCAGCTTTGCCTGCCCTGTGCCTTCACCTAATGGAAGAAAACACAGGGTACATGGTCCATCTAGTGCATTGGCCAGGATGGTTTTGCTGCTCAAAGGCCTTGTTTGTGGAGCAGCTGGCTCTCTAGTTGGAATGGTGTACAGACATACTTGGCTTCAGCTGCTGTACAACCTCACCCATTGAGGGAAGTCCATGCAGACTTGTGAATACTGGTAAATCAAATTCTATAAAGGGATTTATGCATGTGCTCACATCCCTGTCCTGGAGGGGGCTAACCATTAGCACAGGGGTCTCAAACTCAACTTACCTGGGGGCCGCTGGAAGTAGAGTCTGGGGGAGGCTGGGCCGCATCAAGTATTCCAACACCACGGTGGTGGTGGGCCACTCATCCCGCGGCTGGCCCGGGCGCCGCTGGTGCTTTGAAGGCCGCAGGGCCCCTCCCCTGTGCCCCGCCCATTCTGGCAATTGGCCCGCGGGCCGCGAGTTTGAGACCCCTGCATTAGCACGTTGTGGATGCTAACCTGTTTTCAGAATACATTTTAATGTGAATAATATAGTTTACAAGTGTGTAATTTTGTTTTGCATTCTAGGTTTGGATTTTCAGCCTTACCTTTCCAGCTTGGATTTTCTTTCCCAGTTCAATTCTGTATTACCCACAAGAAAAAATACAGCAGCATCTAGTTCTCAAATTGTGCATTCTAGTCCACTTGATGTATTTGTTGGCTCTCCTATTAAAGAAGAAGATGAAAATGCAGACACTGATGCTAAGAAAGCTAATTATGGAAGACAAGAAGCAAGGGAACAGATGAAACAGGTGCAGGATGCTGTCACTTTTCTTTTGCTTCTCTGCTTTTTTTCCTTTCATCTGCTTTTTAAGTGCAAGCCACATTACATCTACATTTATATCTAAAGTTTAGGAGATTACAAGTGCCCTGATTACATGCAAATTTTCCTTTTTGTTTAAAGAGCAAGACCTAGTTAGTGTTTCTTACACATCAGGCCTTTCACTAACCAGGGTTAGCATCCATCACAGCTTGCACTTATGATTAGAAAGCCTGAAAAATTGTTTGGAACTATTCATGGTTAATGAAAATACTGGTTCAGTCATAATAGGTTGGATACAGACTTAGTTGTTCTTGGGACACATTGAATTACATTTGACAAGTGACTTTGGGACAATTGATCATTTATATTTCAACCATAATTATTACAATTATTTCTAAAAATGAAAGAGGAAATGGAATTTACATGAGAGGACAGTAGTAAGAGTGGTGCATAAAAGCAGTAGTTAGAAGATCAAGCACAAAGGGTAGGCTACTAGATGGCAACCAAATACATATGGGCTTAAAAAATGTGTTTTTCTATAAGAGATTTTCTGTCCTTGACACTTGTTTTGTTGAATGATAGAGCTTTTGTTCTTGGTTTTTAATTAAATTTACATGACTGTGTCAGGGATGGGGAGCCTCCAGCTCACAGGCTGGATTCAGCTGATGGAGGGCAGCGACATCCAGGCTGTCAGCTTCTTTCCCAGGACTCTCCTCTCCCCTCCCTCTCCTCTCTCCCCTTTGCAGAGAAAAGCTGTTATCTCAAATCAGCAGCTAATTAGCTGAGAGCTTTTCCCTGTTGTACAATAAGAAAGGGAACCTTTGCCCCTCTACAACAGGGAAAAGAGCTTACCAGATAGGCTTTTCCCTGCAGGGGAGGAGGAGTGTGGCCTGTAGGGGGGAAGCTGCTGAGTGATTCAATCCTGCTTGTTTCTGGGGCTTGACTTGCTTTCATGCTTGCTTCTGCAAAGACATGTGGGAACTTGCTGTTTGGATACTTTTTTCAAAGTGCTGCTGATTGATTTAGTCTTGCCTGCATCTGAGCAAAAATGCTGGGGTGTCCTCTTATGTGAGTGAATATGATGCTTGTAGCTTACTTCTGATTAGACATACAGGAGCTTGGTACTTAGGTTACCAAGTTGCTTTTGAGTAGGCTTAATATCTGTAATCACATGGGAGGATGATGTCATCATGCTGATATGGTGGATTAGTAACTTAATGTTCCAGTCCCCTAGTGCAAATTATAACTTAAACTAGTGCATCAACAAAGTAAACCTGACATTTGGGGGACAAGAAGGGTAATTGATGCTTCCTGCAACCCCTGTGATAGGAGACTTAGTACTCTGGAGCCTCTGAGAGCACAGGAGGAGAGATCAACAAAAGCAAGTAGGGAAGGCAAAAGCATGATATGACAAAAGCTGAAATTGAAGACTAAATACAAGACTTGAGATAGGAATGTTTCACTACTATCCAGTCCCTGGAAACTCAGATAAACGAAGTCTCTCAGCAACTTAATGGGATTGCAAACATGGCCAGTGCAGCAATGGACTTGAGTCTTATAGAGAAAATTATAATGATAATACTAACACAGTTCAACAAAATTGTAAGAAAAAATGGAGGAACTTGAATCATAGCAGATGACCAAATCAGAGATTTAAACAGATCCAGGATGGTCAAGATATAATTGGATTCTTAAGATGTTGCATAGATAATTTCCCTAAAATAACCAATGAAAAATGAAATGTAGAATGGGCTCACATTTCACTAATCTGAAGAAGCAATACTGGCTGGATCCAGATCAAGCACAAAATTTCAGTACATTTCAAGTGTTTCAAGATTTGTGTCTCAATACTCCTGAAAGATCGAAGATATTTAAGTCTTTCCTCTGTTGAAAAGAGGAAAGACACAGTCAGTGTTGTTAAGAGGACCACCATAGTTATTACATTACATTGGGAGACTCAACAATTCCGTATACACATAAATCTGAGCCCAGAAGAAGAGGAGGAAGCTCCAGTGTAGGAGAGAACCTGAAAGGCTTATCATGAGAAAGCTTGATTTGCACCTGAAGGTGGGAAGGAAGGATGCATGCATATATACAAAGAACTTGGACTGCTTTCCCTTTTGTGAGATGCCCCAAACATTTACTGCATAAGAAGTTACAACATTCCTCCAGGCCTTCCACCATCCCCTGGAGTCCACTTAAGCTCACGCTGACTGCTTCAGTGACTCCCATCTAGCCACCTCATTCTCTGCCATCCTCTTCTTCTTTTGCCATCAAGTATTCCCAGTGTTAGGCTCTTCTCCAGTGAGTCCTTTCTTCTCATTAGGTGGCCAAAGTATTTGAGTTTCACCTTCAGTATCTGGCCTTCTAAAGAGCAGTCAGGGTTGATCTCCTCTAGGACTGACCGGTTTGATTGTCTTACAGTCCAAGGGACTCACAGGAGTCTTCTCCAGCACCACAATTCAAAGGCGGCAATTCTTTGGCACTCAGTTTTCCTTATGGTCCAACTCTCACAGCCATAAATTACAACTGGGAAAACCATAGCCTTGACTATTTGAACTTTTGTCGGCAGGGTGACGTCTCTGCTTTTTAGTATGCTGTCTAGATTTGCCATAGCCTTCCTCCCAAGGAGCAAACGTCTTTTAATTTCTTGGCTGCGGTCCCCATCTGCAGTGATCTTGGAGCCAAGGAAAATAAAATCTGTCACTACCTCCATTTCTTCCCCATCTATTTGCCAGGAAGTGATAAGACTGTATGTCATGATCTTAGTTTTCTTAATGTTGAGTTTCAAGCCAACTTTTGCGCTCTCCTCCTTCACCCGCATCAAGAGGCTCTTTAGTTCCTCTTCACTTTCTGCCATGAGAGTGGTATCATCTGCATATCTGAGGTTGTTGATATTTCTCCCAGCAATCTTAATTCCAACTTGTGCTTCATGTAGCCCTGCCTTTTTCATGATGTGCTCTGCATGGACAGTACCTAAACCCCTTGGACAGTACCAAAAGGAATAGGTATAGATACTTAAAAATATCCAGTGAGGCTATGAGCTTCTCAGATCTTCATCACCACTGAGACCATCTGTGCCGTTCCCTTCTCAATAGTGGTTGTTACCTCGGTACTGACATGATTCAGGGGTAATTGTTTCAATATCAGATGGAGAAATTCAGGATCCAGCTATGCTTCTGGACTAGTCAATAAATGTCTTGCTACCCTTCTAGGTCTCCAAATAGAACTTTGAATGTCAGATATGCTGACCCATATGGTCAAGAAGGTCCATGTTTACATCATGTGGAGACCTGAATGGGAATGATGATCTGATTGATCAATACTGACATGGCATGCCCTTGACTGGGATGACTGGTGTATACAGTTATTCAGACTGCTTTGATTATGACTGCTATTAAGAGCCCCAGTCAATAATTAGTAGAACATTCATCTTCACTTAGCAGAGTACCTACAGCTGATGTCCTCACACCTTCTTGAAGTACAATTCAGAGCAGATTGCCCTTTCGGTCATGCAGCTCTTTCTTCTGTTCTCCATTTATGAAACAGCCCACCTCTTGTGAGTGAACTTGCTACTCACCTACATGTGTGATACTCAGAACACAAAGAAAAAAGGTAAGTTGCTTATCTGTAGTTGTAATTCTGTGAATGACCATCTGTGCATTCACATAAACCTCCCACCAACCACATGTTGGTGTCATCTTTTCATTTGATTGCTATGTATACCAAGGATATTCCACTGTTTTCTAGCCTCATTGGCACCATTTATTTACACCATAGTTTAATCTTGGTCCTGAGGTTACAAGTAGTCAATCTCTATGGGACTAAGGGAACAAGCAGGAACTCACTGTAGATGTATATACTAGATGATGTGGGGAGTGTTCCCAACAAAAATTCCTCAGCTATAGAAGCTTCCTGACTGAGGCCACACACAGGCACTCAGTCCATATGTGTAAATGCACAGATGATCACTTGAAATTCTACAGAGAAGCAACCTGCCTTTCAGATTGTTCTTTTCATATTGTACCTGGTGGCACCAGACACTAGTTGAATAAGGTGGTTTAATGGACATGTTAAATGGTACTAAATGGAACAGCATCAATTGAGATAAGGAACTTTCTTTCCCATGTTGCCACCTTTTTCCTGTTATCCTATGTCATTGATATGTGCCACTAATGCTTAAGTAGGCCATACAGTTGTTGCTGGGCCCATATTAGCAATCCAGAATATCATTTATTGCACTCTGAACACCCACTGCTTCCAGTTTCTTTTACATTTACTAGGTTTCATTATTTTTTATGTTTTATTATTAGAGTTCTAGTTTGCCTTTCTGAAACTCTCCAAAGCAGTTTACAAAAATTCAGAAAACAAAAATCATAAGTAAAAGAATAGTAAAATATAACAAACACACATAAAAACCCTAACATATTTATTCCTCCCTTCCCCCCACAGTTAAGCTCAACAAGCTCTGATTCCCCAAATCTAAGCACTCCACCACTGGTCAACATAGTCAAGAGTCCTGATTCTCGGGAGAGGCTTATTAAGAATATCCAGGCACAATTGACATATGACTCACCAATGAATGGTACTACCTCAACAAGTAAGTATAAATCACACTTTTGCATTATAAAAAATAATAAGCTGGCTAGTGACTTAGCATCTCAAGTGAGCAGGAGTATAATAGTCCAAAGGTTTCCACACACATAAGCACACATGCATGCAAATCAGATTTATGAATAAGAATGTGACATAATGTAAAGTTTCTAAATTGCTGTGCATGATGTATCAAGGCAATTAGTATGTGAAATTTTCCAGGGTTCAGCTTTAGTTTCCATTCATGAACTTACTTTAAATTCTCAAATCCCAACCGTTACAAGCTTTTAGGTAGGGTGAGGGACAGAAGCTTTTTTTTTTTTTTCACTGTTTAAATATACATGATGATTATAATTAACATCACAGTGATGTGGTATGCCAAAATGCCTGTCTTAAATACTAGCTTGTAGAAAACTACCTTTTGGAGTCTCTTTTTTCTTTGTCAAGTAAAAGGAAATGCTGATATTTGTATTTTTCCGTAGACCCAAAGATAACTTCTGCTGTTAGTGCTGGAGTTGCCAGTTCACTATCTGAAAAAATAGTAGATACTATTGGAAGCAGTAGATTGAATGCACCTTTATCATCAGTTCAAATTCATTTCATTCAAAATATGATACAAGAAACACTGGATGACTTCAGGTAAATAGAGATCTATGACACTTTGATTATATTTTAAATTTTTTTATTACATTGCATGAACTTTTACTTAATAGTATTCAGTGATGAATTTATAAACCTACAGATGGTGTATGGATTTTTTTATTGTTGTTAATGTTCAGGTTTTTCTGTTTCTTTTGGTTAGGCCTTCTAACAGTTTAATATAGCTGTGGCAGAGGCTAGAAATCCAAGTATAGGGAGCAGCGATTTAATTTATTTATTTTTATTCTTGGGGGTTTGGTGACTTACCATTAAGGTTCTCATTATCTCTTATACATTGCAAACTGAGGGTCGCATACCACCACACTTTTTTCTTTTTCCAAGATAGTATCTCATACACCCCCATGGAACTCTCAAATTGCTTCATAAATGTCCAGCTCAAAAGTATTGAGTATTGCACGAAGGGTCTTTGTGCAAGGGCAAAATATGTTTTGTGTATTCACTATTTTCCCCTTTGCTCCTCTGTTGTCTTCATTTTCTTTGCCAAATCCTTGCCCCTACTTTTTGGATTTGAAAGAATGGATGAGATGCACATCTCTAAACATCTTCAGTAATGAAGCACTTTCTGAAATGAGAGACAATTGGATGAATGCACAGAAGGTGTTCATGTATTACTCTGCCCATGAAGCAGTTGAAGAGAAACATGCTCATCTCAACTGCCACAACATAGTATCTCTGTCATGGAAAGCATGGAAGCAGAACCAATAGCCCTGTAACAAGCAGTCTCATCTCCCTCCTGTAATATTTAAGGACTGATATTTCATGTAATCCAACCATTATATTGGATTACAACACTCTTTGTTTTGCTGGAAAGGAGAATGTAGCTCACATCATGATGACTGTATTTAATGTAAGAGCTGCTAAATGTTACTGAGGCAGCAAGGGAAAAGAGCTCAAGGATACTATTTTCAGTAGTGTTCCTGTACAACATGTACAGTTCAGATTTCTCACTTCATTCCTTTACATGAAATGTACAACTGCAGTTTGACTCTAGTTTTTGACCCAAGTCAATTTTCACAGCATTGCAGATCTGATGGGCAAGGAAAAGGTCCTTAGATGCTATAAATAGAACTGGCATAGGCTACTCTGTCAATGTAGTGCTACATCAGGAATATATTTCAGACTGGCACATCCACCACCTATACACTTGAGCATTCTTTTTTTCTTCTGTCGGGTGGGGGGTAACTAGTTGGAGTTGCTGGGTTGTTTCTGAAGGAAGTAATGGGTATAAGTTTTACATTTATGTCTTAATTGCTTCCTTTGCCTTAGTGTTCCCTCTGTTAGTCCTTGTTAGGCTGGAGGTGGGGGGCTGTGTGCCAGTGTTGTAAAATCATGAGGACATAAATGAGACTTCTCTCTAAATTATGATTAATTGAAGAAGGTAAGCTAGTTCAAAAAGGCACTTGCATGTAACATTTTGAAAATACTTTTTAGTATATGTAATAATAGATTTAAAATAATGGTTTGAGCTGCCTTTGAAACCAGTAAACTCGATCTGTCATAGTAAAAACCTACAGGTGCATCTGTATGCACATAATACGATGCTTTTATTATAAATGAATGATGTTAGCTGGAATCTGTTTAGCTGTGCATCTGGAGCAATTAAATTTTCTTGGTGCATAAAAATAAAAATGCCAAACAGTTTTTCACGTTTATGGCAAACTGTTGGTGCAATGAGTTTTTTCAAACCTGAAATATTGTAGGTGGATGCCAGGATTGCTTGCTTAATTCTTGTATTTTTACCAGATTGTTCCTTGATTTTTTCCCTTTTTAGATTTTTACTACCAGGCTTGTTTAGCTCATACTTAGAGCAGAAATTTCTGGCTTCTCCTTGTAGTATGAAACTGTGACTAGTACCCCTCCTCTGCAGAGTGGTATTGGAAGAAGAAACTTTAAGGGAAAGTGAAGGGAAAAGTGTTCAGCCTTTTGTTCTTCCTCTTTGCAGAGTAGGAATGGTAGCCAAGTATTTTAGGATATGAGGTGAAAGCAACTTAAATAGTTCTGCCTGATGGGAGTAAGGAAGTGGGTTGGAATGAAATATATTCTACTGTGAGATTTGGCCAGTCTGAAATTACATGATTGTAACTCTGGGATCAGGAGAGAAAGACTAGACTTGTGGACATGAATTGAAGATGCGTGGCTTTTGTTCCCTCAGGGAAGCCTGCCATCGTGACATTGTGAATTTGCAAGTGGAGATGATTAAACAGTTTCACGTACAGTTGGTATGTATAAAAATATTGAAAGGTGTGCATCAGTGTTTATGTTGCAAATAAAACTAAGACACCATCTCATATCCTATGTTGCTTAGTCTTCTGGAGATTCTAGAAAAAACACCACCAAAATGGACACTGTTAATTGTTAACAAAGCTTATGGCATTTTTAGCTTAAGAGGCAGTGACCTGTTTCATACAACATGACAATACCCAGTGGGTTTTCACTGTGGTTTGTTTCAGGGTTAGGACTGTGATGCTCCAGCCTGATACAGTGTCTTCAGTGTGGTTTATTAACCATATACAAGCCACCCTGAGAACCCGTGACTTGGTTTTGGGTTGTTCAGGGTGACTTGTTTTAAATTTGCAGAGTGGCTTATGCATGTTTTGGAAACCACAAAGAGCTACCTGGTAAGAGTGATGAAAAACCCAAGTATTCCTTGCAGTGCCCACCATCCCTTCCCTCGTGTTTGTGCTTCATTTGACAACTGGCTGTAACCCTTTCAAGTCCAGCTAGTACATCTTTGTGTATATGCATGATTGACTTACCCTTAGGTTCACCCCTCCATGATGATTTGGGAGAGGGGATTTAAGTTTTGCTTCCTCTTGTTTTCATGCCCAAATGGGTGGGAGGGGTGTTGAAATAAGGGGTTTTTTTTGCCTTTTGCCACCATTTGAAGGGGGTTGGCATGAGAACAGGAAGTGGGAAGGCTTAAATCCTCACTCTTGAATTGCCACGGTCCCAAATGTTTCAGTGTGGAGTGTGTGTGCTTAATTAAATTATATCAATCAAGCATAGAGACATGGCTATGCTAGGAAGAGGAACAGGATGAAAGGAGCTCTTTTTCATCTCAAAGAAATAAAATTGGTCTGCTAGCAGGCACCCTGACAGCTTGGTAGTTGAAGCCACCTTGTCTTTCTTACTTGCTCTATTTGCAATCTGTACTAGTGACAGCAACTTACAGTCCTTCCAAAGTGCCTAAACAGCACATTGGAGCAACAGTGCTCCAGAAATGTGGACAAATATTTTCTTGGTAAAGTGTCTGCTGCCAAAATGGTCTAGCCATGAATATTGACCAAGCAAGGCTGTCACTGAGAAGCAAAGCAACAAAATACCCTACTTGTAGCCTTGTTCAGTCAATATCCCTAGCTGGTACCTTCTGGTCTTTGATAGCAGGTGCTTACCACAATATTGAGCTGCCAGTTTATACTAGGTACAGAATACATGTGTTTGAGTTAAGAGAAGAATACATGATTTTTTTGGGGAAGGGGAAAAAGTGATAATTGAGTTGGCATTTCTGTGGGGTTTTTTGTGTGTGCTTAGGGAGTAATCCCATGCATAAACAAAATTAAAAAGTCCTACAGAATTCATTTATTGTATTACTTTTTTCTGTGTAAACATGAACCCCTGCTTTTCAGAAAGCTGTACATGTTGTGATTCTTCTATTGACAGAAAGTTCACCTTTATGATAGGACTTGGATTCACAAGGCAAATATAGCTGGATAATGTTTTCATTTTTATTTAATGTGATAATTTTTTATTTCATTACTCTCATCTCTAGAATGAAATGCATGCCTTACTTGAAAGATACTCTGTAAATGACAGCTTGGTAGCTGAAATCGAGAGACTGCGTGAGGAAAACAAACGACTGCAAACTCACTTCTGAGAAGTCCCTGTTCATGCAAGGAAGAGGAATTGAACTTTTATTATTGTGCTCAGGCATCATGACATCATCTGGCAAACAGAGAAATAGTGTATAAACGCAGTATTCTTTTCCTAGCACTAAATAACATTTTTAGTTATAGAAGAAGCAATATTCCACAAATTAATGCAGAAAATGCACTAATAATGTTTGTACCAAGTGTTTTTATGGTAACCTTGAAATACATTGGTTGTAAACAGGAGCTGACAGGTGTATGGTTAACCAGTTCTAGCTGTATGCAAAGTGCCTTTATAAAAAGGGAAACTAAACAGGAAATGTATTTTGTATAAGAATTTATCAACCACTTTTGTCCTGATCAATTTATGATACATTTCAATATTTTGGCAACTTTTTTTACAGTGAAATCTTTCTAAAAGTGTGTGTTTTTTCTCTTCTTTGACTAGAAAAATATTCAAATGTCTGGCTCTTTTTAAAAATTGTATATCTTTTACGGCTGACTTAGTCCCTATAAATGTTACTTTGTAAGTGTAGGATATAACATTGCATTATGCATTAATTTGAAATTTTATATAATTTAATGGTACACTGATTGATTTGTTCAGATTGAATAAACAATTTATGAAGTCCTGAGTAAATGTACTTGGCCAATAATGCTGTCACTGAGTCTAAACCTCAAGCTGTTCTTCAGGAGCAAGCTGTTGACTTCCAGTGCAAGCATAGTCATATTCACATTTATTAGTTTGACTTAACTATATGTTACCCAACTCTGCAGCTGTGGCTCAGGACATGTATTTTTACTAGTCTCTACCACCTTATGCTTTGTGACAGCTCAGAAAGCTTTGGCTGTCGGGCAGTATAGAAAATAAACAAATGGGAGCAGACCATCAAATGCACATTGACCTGGTTCATGCATAATGAGAAGCTATTAAGTTCTATGTGGCTGGCTGAAGTACGTTGGGAATTGCAGTACTGTTTCTGTCTAAACCAACTATTTTCTCTTTTTGAGAATTTTCTGCATAGCATTGCACCCAGAGAAGACTATGGGCCAGATGAATTTTAACAAGTTGACTAGAGAAACACACTTGTATTTGGAAAAAATGCAATAAGGAACTAACTTAACTACATAAATTATTTTCTGGTGTCAAGAAGATTTGAGAATTTGCCTGGGGGGTGGGTGCTATGAATGATTTTTCCACCAGTGTGGGGTAATGGAAGGCTGGCACAAGTACCCACCAGGTTTATATGTTTTTTATTGCCAGGCTTCTTTCCTCACTCTAAACTGCTTGTGGAGATGCGCTTTTTTCCTGTTGTGAGCTTTTCCCTCACTTTGTTTAGGCTGTTAGTTACCTGCTGAATTTCTCCTTTTTTGTTTTTTAACTAAATGGCTTTTGCTATGGTTTTGCTGTTTTCACCTCTGAGCTGCTTAAGTTGGGGTGAAGCTTTGATGGCTTGTGGGTAAACTCCAGCCTATGGCTGGGGTTAACCAGAGCAGCTCAGCCCTGTGGCAAAGCTCTTTCTTGGCAGTCAGCAAACCAGTTTTATGTGGGGCTGCGATAAGTGGCAAGGAGGGGATGGTCTGTACTTTTTGAGATAGGTTTAAGGCTCATTTTAAAGTTTCTGTCTCTGTTGTGGGCTTTGTGTCCACTTTGCTTTTTGCTTGGCTGCTGAATTACCTGATGGCTACTGCACATGATGGGGGTGGAACGTGGACTGCTGGGTCACATGCTTCAGCATGTGACTATGAAAGCCTGTGGATTTGAAGTTGAGCTACTGTCAGAGCTAAGCAGAGCAAGTAGCATGAAGATCTCTTTCCTGGGAATTAATGAACAGAGTAAAGAAATGGGAGTAGCTGTAGGAAATCCATGGGAATTACAAAGTCATATGACATGCCTGGTGCTATGGAAATGGGTTGTTCAGGGCTTCGTGCTGTGACTTTCTTCTTGCCTGAGTGCAAGCTAGTAGTTTTTCTGGAAAAGAAAGTGATGATACTTGAGGCACACTACTTTACACTTCATCTTACTAGAGAGTGAAAGATTTATCTGAGAGACCTGAGCCTCCCAAAAGAACAACAGAAGTGAAGGGTTTCCAAGGAAGAGAAAGAAAAGAAGGGGCAAGAGGTTGGGGAATGCAAGAATGTGACCCACAGAGCTCTTTGGGAAGTGCCTTCTTAACCTGACTCAGTTGCAAAATTATTAATAGGCAGTACAAAGAACTGCTTTCTGGTAAATAATGGTAAAAAGCCCTGCTTTAAATGTCTGAAGTTCATAAATTGCTGCTGGTGGTATTTTCTGAGCAATTGCCCCAGTAATGTTTAAAATACTAAGGATGCAATTATGTGCATGTCTGGGCAAGAAACAATCATATAGCTACAGCTCCCAGCACCTGCAACCCTTCTAAAAAAGCAGAGCACAATTTTTTAAATCTAAGTATGATATGTAGAGCTACCTAAGGGGATGAAAAAGATCTTGGGTGCCTTGTAGATAATGCTATTCTTCGGTGGATTTCTTGCCGATGGATGAATTGTACCTGGAGCACACATCCATGGCTTCTCATCTATGTGGAGGAAAGTGAAAAGTGGGGTATCACTGGCTTCTGACTCTGACCCATTGTTGTTGTTCAATATCTTTATAAGTAACTTGGACAAAGGAACCCATGGGTTGCTTATCAAATTAGTAGATGATGTAGAACTGGCAGGGTTAGTTAAGAGACACAAGATTCAAGATTATCTTTGCAGGATTGAGACCTAGACCAAAACGGAAATTATTTCAGTAGAAAGAATGAATAACACAAATTACTGTAAATGGATTTTCCGTGTCTTTTCTACCTCTTACTCAAAAAAAAAAAAAAAAAAAAAACCTTGGTTTGGGTTCATAGGATGCCACAACGTGTCTTTAATATGGGTTTGTCTATGTCAGCCAGCTGCTGGAGGTACCATAGTACTAATGCTTTCTTTAACCGTATGCTTTGGCAATCTCCCATAGGTGCTTCTTTTAGAAAGAGGCTAAAATACAGAGCGTTTTAGTATTGAAAGTCTTTAATATTCAGATTACTTGTTATCTGCTTGCTTCCTGGAAGTTAATACATGATCAATACCTGGCAATTTCAAAAGTTTCCAAAAAATTAACTCTGTTTTATAAATTTGGAACATGGGATTCATCTCCACCATAAATACCCTTGAAAAGGATGCAACTATTTACTAAGGAAGATAGATTTGGCTTTCCAGATATTGCTTTATATCATTGGGCTTGTTGGCTGATGTGTACCGAAATTTTGTTTTTCCCACTTAAGTGGCCTTTTCCATTGTGGTCAGTTCTGGATTTTTCTTGTCTGAATCCTCTTTCTAAATGGACTGCATTAGTCTCGTAGCATATTAAAATTTGTTTTCCCCACATTCTGTTTCTTTGTTTCTAAGTGCTCTGGTCACAGCTGAGATATTTTTAGGAATAATGTAGAGGGGGCAAGGCCAGGCCAGGCCAGAGTTCAATCCACAGGATCCATTGTCAGTCAAGGCTAACTGGTAGTGGGAGGGTGGTGAAGGTCTAGGAATCTGTCATAAGCTGACAGAAGGTCTAGGCATCTGTGTTACTGTTTTGTTTTAGGAAGAAAGGCAGACAAAATGACCTCCACCATTCCTTCTGCCTGCCTGCCTTTTGTCAGCAGGGCTTTGGAGAGGTAGACAGAGGGCTCTGTTCTAAAATAAGTAAATGTGACAGCTACTCTAAAATAGATGCTTGTGATCCACAGGTGGGTATGCCAAATCCTGTATCTTTGTGAGAAATTGAGACTGAAAGCCAGAATGGAGGCAAAGGGAGGGTTAAAATCACTGAGGTGACTGTCCTTTTCTAGAAATAAGCCCTCTGATTTCAGTGGAGCAATGTTTGGGGAGACATGCACAAGATTTCCCTGTGAACTCTTTTCCCACCATGAAAGCAATAAGTTTCTGCTTTCAAAGAATTTTGACATGCCAGCCTTTATTTTTCACATTTTTAAAAATCTACAAATGATAGATTTTTACATATAATATGCAAATATTAATTTAATCTAATTTTTCTTCTCATTCAAGTATTGTCACTGCATTCCCAAATATTTCTCAATTGTATTGGAGTGTATTGTCCTGCAGATGTTATAATTTTACCTCAGAGTTTCAGTGCAGATATTATTATTAAGATATTGTGAAAAGAAAACAGTGGGCCATAAGCTGGAATTGTTATGATGTGCCATACGGACTCAAAGTTGAAACAGACAGTGTTTTACAATTCAGAGAGCTTTGGTTATTAAGCAGTATAGAAGACAAACAAACTATTGTCTTTTTAGAAAACAGCTGGTTTGGATTGCATTGTTTCTTTTTGATGTGGTAAAACCACTATGAAATGTGTAGTGTCTCAGCTTCAGAAGGTAAATATTCAGATGGGGAGGTTTAGGAAGGAAAAGACTGTGAAACATGGGTACCAGCGGTCACTACATGTAATATACCACATCAGAATGAACTGTGATACTTTAGGCCTTTAGAAGTTGCAATAACAGCCAATAACAGAACTGAACCATCATCAAGAAATGACGACAATGGCTCATTTTCTTCTTGTTCACTGCCTGTCTTTGACTATTTTTGTTTTTCGAAATTCGTTGTGAATTCTTGGCCTGTGTTTAATTCAAAATAAAAGGCCTGGAGTTTCCATGTGGTCATGGAACCACTTTTAAACATACTTTTGAACCTCCTTGAGTTACACCTTAGTCCAGGGGTCCTCAAATTTTTTAAATAGGGGGCCAGTTGAAAGGTGCCAGTGATGGGCGTGGGCCGCCAAGGTGCAGGGGGTGCGTGGGCCGGGGGGGGGGCACATACATGCGCAGAAAGACGGGCATGTGTGCGCAGAGATCATTTTCTCCCAACGAGTACAAAACGATCTCCCTGGGAGCAAGCCAGTGCCTTGGGAGATAGTTTTGGACTTGCTCGGTGAAAAGGATCTCCCAGCAAGGCACCGGCTTGCTCACAAGGAGATCCTTTTCTCCTAGTGAGTCCAAAATGATCTTGCGAGCAAGCCGGCACCTTGTCACATGCACGCATGTGGTGAGCTATGGTGGGCTGGATGAATGGGCATGGCAGGCCGGATCCAGCCTGTGGGCCATAGTTTGAGGACCCATGCCTTAGTCCTTTGCGAATGGCATCTTTCTAGCTAATGAAAGAGAAATGCCTCGGAGGCGGAGGCGTCCACTGTACAGGCTGTTCTCTCCTTGTGGAAAGGACATCTCCTGTGCTTATGTACACACCATACCAATGCCAGTCCTCCTCACCAATGCAGCAGGCACGTGGATTTGCCACTAGTTCACCCAGTCTATATTTGGACTCTCTGTTGCTAGCCTTGCCATTTTATTTAACTCTCTTTCTTACACAGAGTGAGCCCAAGGGATAGCTTTACCAAGTAAATCCATTGTTTCCATAGTAACATGTCTTTCAGAAAGGAAAAGGCCATCTTTTTTTTAATTAACAAAATAAGGGACTGAAACAAGGAATGGTGATGGATGTTGCATGAAATATAAAGAAGCATTTGGCCTCCACTGGGATGCTTCCTGCTGCTTTGGAGCATTGTGTATCCCTGATTGAGCAGTAAAGTCTACCCAGGCTCCGTGCCGTCCTTTTGGGTTTTCTACTTATTTTAACAGGACTAAATGGAAACAGTCTCTCTTCTGAAGCTCGTTTAGTTGCTATAGAAACAATGATGTAAGTGGCAGGGATATCTCTAACCTCCACTCCGAAAGGGAAGCATACAGTTACTTAATATAGAATGGTTTGAAAGCTGGGCACAGGCTGGGCCAGTGAGGGAATTTGGTCATAAGATGTGCTGTTGGAAGAACATCAAAGATGTGACCAGAGATGTTTCTTTGCCCTTTAAAACCTTTATTTGGTACAAAACTGACAGGTGCTTAGGTGGATGTGGTTGAAAAGTCACTTCGTTCTAGTGGATTGTCTTCCCTTTGAAAACAACAAACTTAAAAAAGAAAACCTTTTCACCTGCTAAACTCACTTACTTGGGTTCCTTGGCACTTGGGACTTACTTTTGAGTAGACCAGTATAGGATTGCACTGTAACCCACTCTTTCTAAAATATTTTTGATACTGTTTTTTTAAAAGCTAAGCTATCTTTTAAAGTTATATATATCACATGATGGTATACAAAATATAGTAAAATCTATTTTAGAAACAACTGAATATTAAAATAGCAAAACTAAGAAGAAATACATAAAACAGTAAAACATATCATTTTTGCCAACCATTTTCTTCAGGTCAGATAAAGACATAAGTTCATCTAGTACATTGTTAAACTATGGAACTTGCTTCCACAATATGGAGAGATGGCCTGCAACTTGGATGGCATTGAGAGGTGATTAGACATATTTGAGAGGATAAGACTATCAGTTGCCACCACTCACACTGGCCGTATGCTGACTCCCACATCCCTCTGTGGACATACAGCATCAAAGACTGCTTCATTTCTCTTTGTCCCAGTAATAAAAGGACTCTTGGTGTCTTACCCAGAGAGGAGACTTTTGAACAACCAAAATGATCTCAAACATTTTTTTTTAAATTTTTCCTGTTCCTAGTGGTCCTGGAAGATCCAGGTCCAACACGTAATCTTCATATGACCTCTTAGAACTTGGTTGGAATATGTGCAGACCCTTCCTTTCCCCTCTCTTTTGTGGTTATAGACATCATTAAATGAGTGCCCCCTCCTTTGACCATCCATTGCTCTTTGCAACATCTTGCCTGATGAAGCGATGTGGAGAACTTTACAACTTGCACATTTTTGTGACTCTAATAAAGGTACTATGAGGACATGATAATGTCAGTTGTGCACTGCAACTGGGGAAAAGCAGACAGATTTTAATTTACCCAATGCCTTCAGCTAATAGTGGTGTCTAGAAATCTTTTGTGGATTGTTGTGAACTATGCTTATCTTTGAAATCTGGCTAATATTCCTACATCAGTCAAAGCTCAAATAAGTAGTAGAAATTGTTAATTTTATGGAAGTATAAATTTTGCATTAAAATGTTACAGCCAATTAAGTAGCATCAAAGTGTGCACTGCTGTTTACTGTCATTGGATGGCACTATCACCTCAGTTTAACTCTGCTTTAAGAACCTCTGCGGTTAAAGGAACAGTAATCATACTTACTGAGGGGTATTATTTAACTTGGTTATGCTTCATTTGGACTCCAGCAGGTCAAGGATGCAGTAAATATTATTCTTGCTAATAGCAAACTCAGGCTGTTGAGTGCATATCAGCATGGAAGGGAAAGCAAGCACACCCAAAAATAATGGAGTGGTTTCTGCACACTTGGGGAGCTTGCTAAGTGCTATGGAGTGTTTGAAATATTTTAAACAGCTTAATCATTGCTTGTCAAGAACCTGGGTACTTCCAGAATGCTGAAGGGAATGGAGCCAGAGAGTGAGAAAAAGAGATGGGAAAGGAAGCCTAAAGCATCCTTCCCCCACCTGCTGCCTCCAGGTGTGTTGGACTGTGTCTCCCTAGCCAGCATGCATAACATAACAGGCTGTTGTTATGTGATGGCAAGCCATCTCTGACTTATGGTGATCTCATGAGGAAAGCCCTTCAAAATGCCCTGTCCACAACAGCCCCACTCAGCTCTTCCAAGTAGGTTTTATACACATTCTAACTGATAGAATTTTGCATTATAGCCCTTACTGCCTGTGCTGTCTTGCCTCAGTATTAAAGTTATTCCTTTTCTTTTGAGATTGGAATTTCCTTAGAGTTTGTCTGACCAAAAGTGTCCCATTCCATTCCACATTAGTTTGCTCACCAATGCAGCAACATTCAGCCATTCCATTGTTTGCTTTATCATTTCCAGTTTGCCTTGGTCCATACCCCTCACATTCCATGTTCCACTTGTATGTGCTGTGCAGTACTGGACTTTCCTTCCACCTCTGTGAATGTCAGCCACTAGACTTGCTTTCGGCTTTGATCCAGTGATATCATTAGTGACAGCACTAATCATACTTGTCCTTTGCTCTTCCCCAGTTGCTTGTTGAGTGCCTTTCAAACTGGAAGTCTCATCTTCTGGCAATATCACTTGTTTCATTTTGGATTGTTTCATCATAGGGTTTTCAATGTAAGAAGTTCCAGAAATGGTTTACCATTGCCTTCTTCTATGCAGTACTAACCACAGTAAGCCTGAGCATCACTGTTGTTGTTTGTGAAGAATCCTCTGCCAGTGTTGCCTTCAGCTACTGCTGCTGCCTAGTAGCTGCCCTTTAAGAGTTTCTCCATCCCCATCATCATTACGAAGAACTGTTCCCTTCTGCTGATGTGACCATTACTCCTGAAGAGGGTGGATGCATCTTTGTCTGGTCTCTGCTTTGGTCATGCTGCCTTCAGT